AAAAGAATTTCAATAAAATTTCAATACAAGGGTTTTGTTAAATAGTGATCTATGGTTACAAGGATAGCCCATTAAGCTGGTGTGCTTATTTCCAATGGGGTCCTGTTAACCAAATAGATGGAAACAAGATAAAACCAGAGAGACATTCATTCCTCAAATAAAAATAGACAATGGGATAACCTTCAAATTATTCAATCACAGTAGTTTTGCATTATCACAGAAAGAAAGGCACAGGAAAAAACAAGATATGTTTGTAAAACATGTATGCCCCCTATCAGCAGCCAATTAGTCATGTGATAAGGTTATTATGACTTCTGACCCAGTGATCAAACAATTAATAAGGGTTATCAAGTATCTACTGGTCATGACCTTAACCTTTGACCCCTTGACCCAAAACTCAAAAGGGGTCATCTGCCCGTCACGACCAATCATCATACAAAGTTTGAAGTTCCTAGGCCTAAGCGTTTTAAGTTAATTGATCGGAAACCGTTTTAACATACAAGGTCAATGTGACCTTGACCTTTGACCCCTTGACCCCAAAATCAATAGGTCATCTGCTGGTCATGACCAATCACCATACCATGTTTGAAGTTCCTAGGCCAAAGGGTTCTTAAGTTATTGATTTGAAAGCATTTTTACCTACAAGGTCAATGTGACCTTGCCCTTTGACCCCTTAACCCCAATATCAATAGGGGTCATCTACTGGTCATGACCAATAATCATACCAAGTTTGAAGTTCCTAGGCCTAAGGGTTCTTTAGTTATTGATCGGAAACCGTTTTTACCTAAGAGGTCAATGTGACCTTGACCTTTGACCCATTGACCCCAAAGTCAATAGGGGTCATCCACTGATCATGACCAATCACCATATCAAGTTTGAAGTCCCTAGGCCTAAGGGTTCTTTCGTTATTGATCGGAAACCGTTTTTACCTACAAGGTCAATGTTACCTTGACCTTTGACCCCTTAACCCCAAAATCAATAGGGGTCATCTGCTGGTCATGACCAATCACCATACCAAGTTTGAAGTTCCTAGGCATAAGGGTTCTTTAGTTATTGATCGGAAACCGTTTTTACCTACAAAGTCAATGTGACCTTGACCTTTGACCCCTTAACCCCAAAATCAATAGGGGTCATCTGCTGGTCATGACCAATCACCATACCAAGTTTGAAGTTCCTAGGCCTAAGGGTTCTTTCATTATTGATCGGAAATCGTTTTTACCTACATGGTCAATGTGACCTTGACCTTTGACCCATTAATCCCAAAATCAATAGGGGTTATCTGCTGGTCATGCCAATCACCATACCAAGTTTGAAGTTCCTAGGCCTAAGGGTTCTTTTGTTATTGATCAGAAACCGTTTTTACCCAAGAGGTCAATGTGACCTTGACCTTTGACCCCTTGACCCTAAAATCAATAGGGGTCATCTACTGATCATGACCAATCACCATACCAAGTTTGAAGTTCCTAGGCCTTAAGGTTCTTTAGTTATTGATCGGAAACCATTTTTTGCTTACAAGGTCAATGTGACCTTGACCTTTGACCCCTTGACCCCAAAATCAATAGGGGTCATCTACTGATCATGACCAATCACCATACCAAGTTTGAAGTTCCTAAGCCTTAAAGTTCTTTAGTTATTGATCGGAAACAGTTTTTGCTTACAAGGTCAATGTGACCTTGACCTTTGACCCCTTGACCCCAAAATCAATAGGGATCATCTACTGGATCATGACCAATCACCATATCAAGTTTGAAGTTCCTAGGCCTTAAGGTTCTTTAGTTATTGATCGGAAACCGTTTTTGCTTACAAGGTCAATGTGACCTTGACCTTTGACCCCTTGACCCCAAAATCAATAGGGGTCATCTACTGGTCATGACCAATCACCATACCAAGTTTGAAGTTCCTAGGCCTAAGGGTTCTTTAGTTATCACTCGGAAACCATTTGGTGTACGGACCGACGGACCGTCAAGTGCAAAGCAATATACCCCCTTTTCTTCGAAATGGGGGCATAATAAGATAACTAAAAAACAATAAAGTTTGGCGAACCTATGTCGCCACTTAATTAGTAATATAAAAAGTCACTTTGATGTTGCGCAGCCCATATTGAAGCAAGATGGCTTTTAACAGAATTTTTATTTAAAGTTGGATTTGATATACATTTTACATCATCTGGCAAACCATTCCAATCTTTAATACCATTATAGAAAAAGGTGCTATTACATGTCTTATTACAAAGAGGAATTGAAAAATTAAAGTTAGACTGTATGTTATAGTTCACAATCTATGTTCGAACAACCTACTGTCTAATTTTTGTTTAAATGACAGAAAATTTCACTTAGATAATTTAATTATTTTTCTTCTACACATAACGTGGAAAATATATTTTATTATATTTTGACTGATTATTATTCATTGTTTACATGAAAAAGATAATCAAATATAAATTTAACTTTATTTTTTTCATAATGCTAATCATTTAATTTCGGAAAATGTCATTCTTTACACAAATTACTGTTGCTGTTGTCGTATTTTGAATGTAGTTGTTTCTATAGCGAACAGTCTACATTTTACTGTCATAAAAAGTCTCGTTGACTGTTTATCTCTGAAACATAAATCGTCCATAAAAAAGTAAAATTGTGAACATCATTGTAATTTACTATGCCTTACAATTATGTTGTAGCGATTCCGGAAAAATTAGCTGCTATTTTCCCAAAATAAAAACAACATTACCTGATGATATTTTCCCCTAGAATATGTTGAGTAAAAAAAAAAATGCAAATAAGAAAACAAGAGGGCCCAGATAGCCCTATATCGCTCACCTGACCCATCAAACTCATCCAAGCAATTACCTTGTCTAGCATCCTGCCAAAGTTTCATGACAGTTGAGTCACTAATGTGACCACTAGTGTTAACAAAGTTTTTCCATATTTTAGAAGTGTGACCTAGTTTTTCACCCCAGGTGACCTATATTCAACTTGATCTAGAAATCATCAACACATATTTTCAGAACTATTTCCAGGATATTTGGAGGAAAAAACAGTAACCACTATAGTGTTGATAAGATTTTTAGCTCATGTGACCTAGTTTTTCATTCGAGACTACCCATGTTGGAACTCATCTAAACAATTACTTGACAAGCATCCTGACAACGTTTGATGACAATTGAGTCAAAAATGTGACCACAACGAACAAATGTGGACAGATGACAGACATTCAATGATCCTAAAAGCTCACACTGAGCTAGCTTAGTGAAAATTAATAATTTTACCTTCAAGGTCAAGGTCATAATGAGCAAAGGTCAATTTGAGTTTGATATACATGAATATCTTATCCTAAAGAATGTCTAAATATGAAGACAATCCATTCATTAATTACAAAGTTATAGATAGTTACAGCAAAAAAAGAAAATTTCACTAATTTGACCTTCAATGTTAAGGTCATTTATGAGTGAAGATCAAGGTATACCTAACCGTTTACATAAAGGTATACCCTAGAAGATTATTGTGTTCAAGTTTGAAGGCAATCCCTTGAAAAACTAGAAGGGTTTTTCTCATATAAACAAAGGTTTCCCAAAACTATGTATGGTTCTGTTCACTCTAGTGAATTTTGGTGGAAATCACGCCAGCATTTTGACATGTGATAGCCTTTCAGGATTTTTCTATTTTTAGCTCGGCAGCCATTTTGTGCAGCGAAGCAGAACATGCTAGCAATATGCACAACTAGGGATGGTAGTGTTAACTCCTGTGAACTTTCATTGAAATCCAACCAGCAGTTCTATCTGTGAAAGCCTGTCAAGAATTTTCTTTATATAGCTCCGGCAGCCATTTTGTGCTGCGAAGCAGAACATTCCGGTGATATGCACAACTAGCGATGGTACTCAGATCACTCCTGTGAGGTTTGGTTAAAATTCCACCAGTAGTTTGACCTGTGAAGGCCGGACAAGATTTTTCTATTTTTAGCTCTGGCGGCCATTTTGTGCGGCGAAGCGAAACATGTAGGTGACATGCACAACTAGGGATGGTACTAATCACGCCTGAAAAGTTTGGTTGAAATCCCACCAGTAGTTTGACCTGTGAAGGCTGGATAAGATTTTTCTAATTTAGGCCTCTTTGTACAGGGAAGCAGAATGTGTCGGTGATGTGCACAACTCAGGATGGTACTGATCACTCTTGTAAAATTTGGTTAAAATCCTACCAGTAGATTGACCTGTGAGGGCTGGCAGGCTTAATGTGTAAGGACAGACGTCCGACTGAAAAGGGATAAAGGGCCATTTCTATTGTTATTTTCTTTTGTATAATAGAGGGCCATGGCCGTTAATTCTATTGTTACGGAATGAACTCTATTGTTCTCTTTTGTTCTATTTACAGTTACAAGTCCCCCTATCCCTATTCGGTAGTGCAGACCAACAACCGGACGGACAGAAAGACGGTGAAGGCAAAAGCAGTATATCTCTTAAACAATTTTGGGAGACATAATAAGATATAGCCACTTATCATCAAAAATATAGCAATAATTTGAGATTTGACCTTAAGGTCTAAGTTATTTATGAATACTATGGTGGTATATTTGACTTTCTCAAAATATCTGGCTTCTTGATTTGAAATTCTAGAATCAAAAGATAGATCATTTCTGATTTTTTTTTAATTGGAAATTTATCAAAAGAAATAGTAATGAAATGAAAAAAAAAATGGCCTGGTTGAATTATGTTACTTATGTTAAGCCGTATGCGTTTTTTCTCTTTTGAATTGATCCTTCAAAGTAGAAAATACAGACTGGCAATAATAGATGTTAACAAGCATCTATGAGAATTAAACATAACAATTTCACTATTTGAAGCAAAGTCACAAAGTTCAACATAAAAAGCAACAAGAACTTGTATGCATAAAAACTTTCCAGTATGTCTGCAGTTGACATTCACACATTTCATTAGAAAAGACAAATTTTCATTTCTGATTTACATACACTCAGACTGAGTATGAACAGACTATAAACATTTCTTTTACCTTTTCCATTTATATCTTCTCCCAACAGACACTGATTTACAGGAATTATGAGCACATCAAGCTTTACTGTGTTGTAATCTATCTTAGCTATTGAAATTTGTTCCTTGCTTCGAGGCAGATTCCATGTGCATAGATAGTCAATACCTTTCTCTGAAAATGAAAATATTTTTATATTTCTTATAGAAAAACAAATACATGTACATGATGATTGCTGACTAACTTGTTCATAGATTTTAAGATATATTTAAATAGTTTTGATGATTTATCTTAAAACAAAACAATGTTTAGTCATAATTGTGTATTGCCACACAGCACAGATATCATGAATAGTACAAATTCATAATGGAGTAATAACCAATATTCCTAACCATGTTTCTAACTAACCATGTTGTGCTAAGCTAACCATGTTGCATAACTAACCATGTTTCCTAACTAACATACCATGTTGCCAACCTAACCTTCCTTATAAACTATGTTTCGTTAGCAATCATGTTGCCCAAATAACCATGTTTCCTCAAATGTTTTCAGCATTGCTTAACATAGGAAATGAACTGAATTAAAGATGAAAGTATGTGTTTCATTATTAAGCATAAAATTGATTATTTTTTAAACTGACTTCAATATTCATACTCATTTTTATTTTCATTAAAATACTTAATTGTTGTATTAACATGACATTCTAAATTATTATTACCTTCAAGCTCTGTTGGTTCATAACGAAAAACATCAGCCTTCCAACAACACTTGCAGCTCCTGGCTATGGAGTCAATCTTATTTTTGTCAGTTGCAAACAACACATTTCTTTGATAGTCAAGCTTTCCAAAATGCAAAACTGTGGTGTTAACATGACTTTCTATTTCAGTAATGACACTTTTTGCCCTGTTGTATGGTCCTTTGACACAGATTCTGTCATTTTTTACTTCAATACCAACATTATTTTGTTTCTCTAACTCTTTGCAATATTCATCACCAAACAATTGCAGACAGTTTGCAACAATACCAGTACAACTTTTGCTATAAGAATATAGTAATTGTTCAATTTCTTGACTCAAATTTGCAGTATAACATATAATACAGGAAATTTTGTTCCCTTGATCACCTATTACCACCTCTTCTGGATGCTCTGAAAGAAAACTTTTTCCTTTTCCATGTTCAAGACATTGTGTATCAATTTTCATTTCTACAAAACAGTTCTTAATCTCCACATAAATACTCGAGTTGGATTTCTCATTCTCCAAAGTGACTGTTTTACCATCTTCAAAAAATGCTATCTTTCCCTTTAACTTTTCTGTCACATATGTTTGTACTTTACCATTTTTAAGCAGCTTCTGATGCAATTTTGGAAGAGAATTTAACTCAACAATTTTGATCTGTTGTACAATAGTGTCTAATTTCTCAAAACAAGCATCAACACCATCCATTTTTGGGCCTTGTAGTATAATATCTTCATCTTTTGTACGAATTAGAATATCTTCATATTCCTCCTGTAACTTCTCAAAAACACCAAGAGCTTTCATTGCCTTTATCTGCTTGTCAGAATATGGCTTTCTCTTGTATTTCCTGTATTTTTGTACCAGATCTATCAACTTCTTTGCCTCATCAGATTGATCTACAGTATACCAAATTATCATCATCCCTGGTTTATTTTCTTTGAAAACCTGTATTTTGTCACAACTGTCTTTTTTAATCAGTTCTGCTTCAGGAGACCATGTGCCTTCAATCACAGTAGTTTTGATGCTATCATCAACAATTCTTTCAGAATTTACAAGATCATTTTCATGACATATCAGATAAATTTTGTCTGAAATTATCAATGCAGAGGGCAATTTCTGCAGCTTTATTTTTAAATGTGCCTGTACATTTTTATTTTGGCTGATAAATTTGAATCCTTCAACTGAAAAATCAAAATCCTTTCTCTTTATGTCTTTCCTGTAACAACAAAACCAGGAAAAAGCCTTAGTAAGTTCCTTTTTGTCTGTACTACTGAATTTATATGTTATGATGTCATTCATTTCCTTTATGTATTTAACATCAGGAAATTTTTCATGCAAGAGTTCTTTTAAACCCATGATTTCAAAATATGTGTCCTGATCATCCGTAATATCTATCACCTCAAAAAAGATATTTCCCTGGAAGCATTCTGGAATCTTTTTATGGTGACCAAGTTTAGACTTTTCACCCTTGCCACTTGTTCGGTCAATTGCTACGGCAGGTTTTAGACCTTGAGTGAGTTTATTGATATCATCCTGCAAACCAACAAATTTTGCAATACATGCATCATCTTCATAAGATAAAAATATACCCACAATTCCTTCTTGTATCAGATGCTTAGTATCATCATCTAATATTTGCATATTACTTTCTAATTCTTGCTTACTCTGGAATTCGTGAGACTCCACAACTTTGCAAGTCAGAGCATTATTAACTGATGAAATCAAGTTGCTCCAAACTGCTTCAATCTTGTTCTTCTCGACAAAATCCCCACTTACTTGGACAACACCGGCAGACTTAACTTCAAATTTAAATTTCACTGTTAACCTTTTTAGAAAATACAGGTATTCAAATTGTGATTCCAAAACAAACTGCAACTTTGAACAGTCAACTAATTTGGTTGCTTCATATCTATAGTGTGATTTCTTAATATCGATTTCAAATATCAATGTCTCCCAAGCTTTTCCAATGCTTAAAGACACCCTGTCACCTGTATAAAGAAAATAAAATTTAGGTAAAATCAGTTTAAAACAAGAGCCCGGTTTGAGCCGGGTGATGCTCCCCGAATAGGTTTTGGACACAGGAAAGTACACCTCTTGTAGTTTCAGAGTTATGTTCGTGGAAAAAGTTCAAAGTGCAATAATTACAAAATTAGGAAAGGAAGAATTACTGTTCTTTGCATTGTACTTCTAATCAATGTGATCTATTAACCTACAAAGTTTCTTGTTGATATCTCTTATGGTTTCTGAGTTATGTGCCGGACAACTTCAAAAAGTCAAAACAAACAAAGGGCAATAACTCAAGAATTAGGCAATGCAGAGTTATGATACTTGTGCACACACATCTATTTATTGAGATATATCTACCAAAGTGTTAAAATTAACAAAGGGCAATAACTCCAAAATTAGGACAAAAAGGGTTATTGTTCTTATGCACTGCACATCTACCCATTGAGATCTATTCACCTACAAAGTTTCATGTTGATATCTCTTATAGTTTTAGAGTTATGTCCTGGACAAGATTTTTCTATAAGGGGAGATAATTAAAAAATGAGGCTTAACAGAGTTATGGTTCTTTTGCACTGCACTTCTACTCAATGAGATCTATCTACCTACAACGTTTCATTTTGATATCTCTTATAGTTTTAGAGATATGTTCCAGACAAAGTTCAAAGTGTTAAAATTAGGGCAATAACTCCAAAATTAGGACAAAAAGAGTTATTGTTCTAAATATGCACTGCACATTTACCCATTGAAATCTATTCACCTACACAGTTTCATGTTGATATCTCTTATAGTTTTAGAGTTATGTCCCGGACAAGATTTTTCTATCAGGGGAGATAATTAAAAAACGGGGCAAAATAGAGTTATGGTTCTTTGACACTGCACTCCCCCTTAATGCCCTCTACCACTGTATGAAGTTTAAACAAATTATCTCAAATGGTTTTCAAGTTATGCTCCGGACAAGACAACGGGCGGACAGACGGACGGAAGTCCTTACATTTGTATTCTTGTAGGGTATTTTACTGTGTAAAAAATGGATGGACAAGGCGCCGACTATATGCTCCCCCGAAATTTTTCGGGGAGCATAAAAAAGGGGGCCATGATGGCTGACGATTGTACACCTTTGCTAGAAAAGGTCACACTTCTTTGATGCAAAAGTCAGTTATTTGGTCACAGAAGGTTTTTATTTTTGACACAAGCTGCATAATTTTTAAAACATATGTAGATGTTTCAAAGAAAATACTTCATACTGATTATTAAAGTTCAAACAAAAGAAGACATAAATGTTTTTACTATGTAAGACTATTTAAACTAAGTGACCCAAAGATTGGAAAGGGTATAATTTATGTCATTTTTGTAAAGGACTACAAAGCAATGCTACAGGCCAAAACTCAGCTGGAACAGTATACAATGTACATGTTGTTTCATATAAGAAGATTTAAATGTGTTTTTCCTATAAAATGCAACATTCAATATGTATTTTTACCCTAGAGCAGTACCAATTTTGATTCAAGAGGGCAGACTTTACTAATGAAGTGGAGGACCACAAATATTGGTACATGCTTAATATTTATGCCCTTTGCATCAGAGTTTCAATGGTAATAATTTTGCCAATTACCGCTTTCCTTATGTCTAAAAAGGAGAGCCTGAAAATTTTGAGCAAAAATAAAATAACAAACTCTTGTTTATTGCTGTGTAGTTCAATATATCTTTAAATTGTATATAATAACTATAATCAATCTGTCTGTTCTCCATTTCTGTATAGTAGGTAATCTTTAATAATGACACTGTCTGAGTTCCACTTTGATACTAAGAATTGAACAGGATTATAGATACAAGAGCGAATGCCTAGCAGAGTTCCTATCTCCACATTCTCATATTTCTATAGTAACATAGGACAAAGACTATAATAAAATAAATTGCAGTCAATGAATTCTCCTAAAAACATAATTTTCAATAATTTTCAAGTACAAAATATAACTCAAATCCTGATGGTCAAGGTCATTCAAAGGTCAAGGTCACAACTGTATTAATCATCATGTCAGTTTTGTCATATGTGTTCTTTGTCCATGAACAAACAAAACCTGTCAATTAATAACAAAGTTATGACAATTTAAGCTAAATTCAATATTACACTTTGACAGTGAATGTCATATAAATATGTCAAGGTCATATTTGAATTACTTTTTATCTCAGGTTTATTGTCAGTGTTCTTCTGCCCAAGTATAAATCAAATCCAAAGTTAAACAAGATATGTTTGTAAAACATGTATGCCCCCTATCGGCAGCCAATTTGTCATGTGATCAGGTTATTATGCATGACTTCTGACCCAGTGAACAAGCAATTAATAAGAGTTATCTAGTATCTACCAGTCATGACTAGTCACAAGGTAATAATTATTGTGACCCCATAGGTTGGGGGCAGCAATTAAAATTATTAAAAATCTTACCAAATAATACATGCATAAATGTTATGAATCACATAGGCCTCATTAATGAAAGCAAAGTTGTTATATTACATAAGACCTTCAAATGTGTATACCAAAAGCACATAAAAATATCAACCAAGGCAACTTGAGTTGTTGAGTTATTGGTCAGAAATGGTCATTAAGTACAAGGTCACTATGACATTGACCCCTTGACCCCAAAATCAATAGGGGTCATCTACTGGTCATGACCAATCATCATACCAAGTTTGAAGTTCCTAGGCCTAAGGGTTCTTTAGTTATTGATCGGGAACCGTTTTTACCCAAGAGGTCAATGTGACCTTGACCTTTGACCCCTTGACGCCAAAATCAATAAGGGTCATCTGCTGGTCATGACCAATCATCATACCAAGTTTGAAGTACGTAGGCCTAAGCCTTTTTTAGTTATTGATCAGAAATCGTTTTTACCTTAAAGTTCAAATTGACCTTGACCTTGGACCCCAAAATCAATAGGGGTCATCTGCTGGTCATGACCAATCATCATACCAAGTTTGAAATTCCTAGGCCTAAGCCTTCTTTAGTTATTGATCAGAAACCATTTTTACCTACAAGGTCAATGTGACCTTGACCTTCGACCCCTTGACCCCAATATCAATAGGGGTCATCTGCTGGTCATGACCAATCATCTTACCAAGTTTGAAGTCTCTAGGCCTGAGGGTTCTTTAGTTATTGATCGGAAACCGTTTTTACCTACAAGGTCAATGTGACCTTGACATTTGACCCATTGACCCCTAAATCAATAGGGACCATCTACTGGTCATGACCAATCACCATACCAAGTTTGAAGTTTCTAGGCCTAAGGGTTCTTTAGTTATCACTCGGAAACCATTTGGTCTACGGACCAACGGACGTTCCTACTGAGTTGACATTATGGGGTTTTTTCTTTGATCTCTAAAACCCCATAAGCAACGTATTTGCACCCCATAAGCAACCTTTTTCCTCACAAGTACCGTCTATACGGATTGAACATGGATATTCACCCCACATCGTCATTTCAGTGAGCTCGGACCGGACATACCAAAATTTGATGTTTATGAGGCAAATGAGCTCATAAACACCACCTGGACCAACGTCCATTATGAAGCAAAATAAGCTCATAAAAAAACAAAAAAATAGCTCTTAATTTGAATTTTATGAGTTTATGTTCTTTATTTAACTACGGAATGAAGCTCATAATAATCAAATGTTGGCTCGGACGGACAGACGGACCGACAAGTGCAAAGCAATATACCCCTCTTCTTCGAAGGGGGGGCATAATTACAAAGATAGAGCCAATTGCTGTGAAATTCAATAAATTTGACCTCAAATGTCAAGGTAAAATAAAAGTTTCTGTCAAATTAAATGAGATCTTCTTTTATGTCTTGTCCCATAGTTGCTGTGCTGAAGTATAAAAGCAATCCATTTATTTCTTACAAAGGAACTTCCAATTGTAGCAAAAAACATTGTTAAATTACATTAATTTGACCTTCTAGATGAAGGTCATTTACCAGTAAAGGTCAAAATCAATTTGGTCTACATAAAGGTCTTGCCCTAAGGATTATTATGTTCAAGTGAGAAGACAATCCATTCCCAAATAAGAAATAAATAGCAAATTATAGCAAATATCAAGCAAAATTCAAATTTTTGACTTTGAAGGTCAAAGTCAGTCTGATTGAAACTTGAAGGTCTTGTCCAAAGGGTTGTTGCTTCCAAGTTTAACCCAATACATTGTTAAATAAAAAAATTGTGACCAATGTTTAAATATTCGAAACGCAAGTGAGCATCAGCAACGGCAACAGCAAGGTCCAGTGAACATCAACCATAATGACTGTAGCAAAGCTGATTGTCAAGCTATAAAGGGTAAAGATTTCATCAAAATAGGGTATGTAAGTCTCGTCATGTGACTAGCGAGATATCACAATATTTTGCACTTCTAGGTACAAACAAATATCAACAACATTGCTTATCTATATTGGGTAATACATGTATGCCGGTTGGAAAGTATAACTTACACGGAAAAGCATAGGATATGTGGAAATTGGCAGAATTTTTGGTTTGTAATGAAATGCAAATGGTTTTATCTTGTGAACAAGTATCAATGTGGGTGTGTCATTACAAGTATCAATGTGGGTGTGTCATTACGAATTCAGTTTACCGGAAAAAAAATTGTAATATTTTCATTTCCATTTAAATCTAATAAATTTGTTACATTTGCATCTGACTTCATACTGGTGAATTTGATTTTAACAATTTTCTATAGCGCTACCTGATTATCTCTCAGAAGTAAAATTTTATAATGTTTAGAAATTTCGGACAGCGCATATTTCGGATAAAACGTGTCAATATGATTATCAGTTTATTTTAGTTGAATATATTTTCTTCTAAGTGAAAATATTATTGTTTATTATTATTATCTGTATAAAGCACAAACAGTCAAGCTGTATATAACCAATTTAAATAAATTGTCATAAAATTCAACGAAATATTTTGCTCCTGTAGATACTTAGACTGAGGAAAGTGGTG